TCATACTGTCTGTAGGAACGGTGTGCTATGTGTTTGCGATAAAAAGCACTAAGTCTTTTAATTGAGATGACTAAAGACGGTCAAACCATCTAACGAATTTCATGGAGCTCTTTTAGATAAACAACTGAAATGAGTTCACAGGCATGAAAAATATCGCAATTTTTTCTTGCGAAATTGCGAAAAGGATTTAGAAGGGAAGAAAGGAAGGGAGGTGGAACTTTCACGTGTTACCCACCCTTCTTTTTTTTGGGGAGTTTCGCGCTCTATTTATTCGGGGTATATTTCAGGAGAAGAAGACCTAGTAAGGCTCTTGACAATATGAACCGCAAATTATAAGGCGTCGGCTTTCCGTGCTACTTAATTAATTAACTGGATTTGCAAGTACCTTGAAGAGAGATCTTAAAAGGTAGTTTTCAATGCATTTCATCCTAACAAGATTTCTGTCATTTCAAGCGTTCCTCAAAGCAGTCACTTAGGACCCACGGCTGTTTGCCATATATATTAATGATCTGCAATCAACAATTCATCTTCTTGTATCCTAATGTACGCTGATGACTTTAAGCTATTCGCGGCGTTTAATTCGGCGCCTTACTTACATCTCCTCAAAGATGATTTAAATAACGTAGTAACACCGTGCTTTTCCAATTCTATGCCATTAAGTCAAAATAAGTAAGAAATTGTCATTTTCCGTCACACATTTACAAGCTGGAAAATGTAGACAGTTTCCCAGATCTTGGAATTCTTGAACTACGTGTAATCGCAAACACATACGTATTTCAGATATTCTTTAAGCGAATTGTTTATAATGTAGTTTCGACTTTTTAGACCTTTGTTTGCTGTTTGATTGAAATTAACTTTATTTTATTTTTTTCTTTATCAATTTTTTCTAGATATTTAATTTACGTCATGGTATGAAGGAGCCGACGAACAATTTGGACGATATTGTGAGTATCAATTCCTTAATCTACATAAAATATCAGTTAAAGTTTTCGAGGAGCGCCAGGTTTTTCGAAAACATTTGCGAAGACTTAGTTTCTGAAACATTTATAATAGAAAGAAAAAAAATCGATAGGAATCTACACGAAGTGAGAGTTAAATTTACTGAGTCAAGCGAAAAGTTCGTGCCGCTGGCTTTAGACTTATGTAATTTTGGCAACACAAGTTGTATTGAGCCATACTGCAGTGCTTCTGAAAGACAATAATGTATAGATAACTTAAAACGAACGAAAAGGTTGAACTTTTTTTTATATATTTAACCGATTACTCATGAAATGTCTCCTACGCATCTAACTAGGCGATGCTTAGAAAGAAATGTTGAAAAAGAAACAGATAAAGAGGTAGTGACCGCAGCCTTTTGGGTCTTTGCCCAATCCGTAAGAACTGAGCACTCACTAAAGGTATGACTATCTGTCGACTGCCTGTCGCAGTGAGATTGCAATCTGCGAACACTAACTTGGTAGAGGGGGATGGTGTTCCGGTAGTACTAAGTGCATAAAAGTTAATGGAGTCCACGCATTAGTACCCAGCCAAGTGTCACTCGCTACTCGTATATAATATTGTGGCGGTAAAGGCTCTTTGAGAGGTATTGTCATCACCATCTTTTGTGGTTTTTGGCTGTAGACAAATTTGCGCGTGGCCTAAAAAGTGTATTTTAACATGAAGAAAGCACATAAACAAAAATTATTTATTTTTGTAATAGAATTGTAATTGCTTACATATGTATGGCGACGATTGTTCCGTATGCTATCTTAAGTTTGATCGAACATGTTCGTTCACAGCTACCAATGCTTCTCTTACTTGTATAAAAATGCTTCCCTTATGTTTATGAGTTATCATAAACAGTGTGAAGTTTCTTTTTTAGTTAATCCTACAAACTAATCCATACAAGCATGAAGAATGAATTAAATGAGAAAAATTTAAGTAAAAACTTCAAGTTTCTAAAGGCTTAATATTTCTTTGCAAGTAAAGCGTTTAAAAAAAATTTACCCCTATCATCGTTCTCTAATTGGCATAATTCAAAGAGTTCAAAGATAAAGATATAGTGAGAGAGAGAGAGAGAGAGAGAGAGAGAGAGAGAGAGAGAGAGAGAGAGAGAGAGAGAGAGAGATAGACTGATTACATAAAAGGATAGTTTTATATAAAGGGAGAATCATTTTCAGTTGAAGGCAAATTTTTATACGCATATATTGGGGTGCTATGCACGATAAAGAAACTATGACAATTCCTGCAGATAAGCATATAACACAATTACAAATACATAAAAATATTTTCATTACTCTGCGCTTATTTCCAGATACAAAGTGCAATTGTGAGGAATTGGATCAAAAACTTCGAGATTCTCGACGTAATTTATATATTCGTCAAAGTCAAGTTACCGCTCTTAATCTAGAATTGAAAAATCATTGAAAATTGAAGAACAGGAAAAATATCGCATCGATATGAAACGCTATAATCAAAAGTTACATGAACAGACTACAAAAGCTGAGAAAGCTATGAATGCTTGGGCAACGAGTAAAACGCAATTGGAACAATTGCAACAATTACAAAAGAATGCTGCCGCTAATGATGAAGAGGTCTTAGGAGAAGCCTCAACAAAACCTGCCGTCACCCTAAACGCGGAATTGATATATGCAGATGTGCAAACTGATGGAGATTTAAACGATATGATTCAATCCTTGCAAGGCAAGAACAATGATTTGAAAAAGATCTGTCGTTTTCGTTGCAAAACCATTAAAGATTTGGAAGAGAAAATGCCGCAGAAAGAGAACACCGAGGGCAATTCGTTATCCGCTTTAGAAGTCGGTCAAATAAAGTCATCATTTTTCACATTTTAGAATCAAAATGAGGTTTTAAACAAGGAATTAAAGATAATTCAACAGAAATATGAAAATGCCAAAATGATCTTGCAATCAAGACGTGATGAAATACGTAAATTACAGGAACAGTTGAATGTGAAAAACTAAATTGAAAGAGCAAAGTATAATTAATTCGCATAAATTTATAAAATGTACTTAAATTTATTATTAAATTATAATTTTTAGTTTTAGTTAGATTTAAATAGAATTATATCATCCTCGTTGGTAGCTATTTATGCTATATAACTTATAACATACATATATATATATATATATATATATATATATATATATTACATTATAATCTTACTTTGTTTTTGTATTTTGTGCCATTCTTCCATTTGATTACTTACTAATTAACTGTTATTATCGTTACACATGCGGTGTTTTAATTTTGTCATGTTTGTAATTTTTGGTCCCATTCCCGTTAATTTATTTAAATTTTCGCAAAATTTATTTGCTTGTAAATAATTCATTTAGTATATTTATAGCAAACGATCGAAAATAAAATCGACTTTGATGAGCACCAAGTCGCTTAGGGACTCATTATCGTTATGCACTATATCAAGAAAATTTAGTAAACTTGTTTTTTATTTTTTGAGGCAAAGCTAAATTCGCTAATACTTCCCGTGCGGCGAGAACTAAATTATCTCGGAATTTTATACCAAACGAAATCCTACAACTCTTGTAAAAATTGCTTTTTCTTGTAATGAGTGTCTTAACAAAAAAAAAAAAAAAAGGAGATCGTATGTTACATTATAAACACTAAAAAAGTTATAATTGTAAAGTATTTGAATGGGAAAAAGATACAAGAAACCAAAGATAAGAAAAAAACATCCAAATGTTATTAATTAAATAAAATGAAAAAAAATAGCAAAACTAATTTAAACTTGCATGGAGTTGAAGAGCCTTGAAGCATATGAGTATCGAACCCAATAAGAAAAAAGCATAAGAAAGGACTCAAAATGTTCTAACATTAAAAAAAATAAATGAATCTTATAAGAAAATTTGCATGTTCCATCAATTCTCTTCATTTGTTATTTCTTTAAATTAGTATGAGTACGAGTTAAACCCGATAGCCGCCACCTTTTTGGTCGGTTTGCCATTAATATTGCGTCGTTATCTTTTTCCTGAACTGGCTATTTCCTATTTGAGCATGGTGTACTTGTTTCAACAGGATTATTAATAAACTCCCATAATTCTGGTGTCGTAGCCTCGGTTTGTCGTGAGTTTCTATTCGGTGTCTCACCGAAGTGGGGTTGGCCTATAATTAAATTTTGGGTTTAATGACAATAGCTTTTTGCGATTTGTCGTATCTTCCGGTCCAGCAGAAACAAGCGAACTTCCCGGATTAATGACCTTGCCAACATTATCTTGTTGTATTTTAAAGGTCGCTTGAAAGCCTGTTTTTATGTCTTTTAGTTCAGTTTCATAATTTGTTTCTTGCAAATTGTATTGAAATTCTCTTAGAATACTTTGTACGGATATTTGGATTTTTTTCGATATGGAGATTTTTTTACCATTCGCTATTTGACAACCAGCAGAAACAAGCGAACTTTCCGGATTATTCATCTTGCCCACTTCATCTCGATTCACTTTACTTTTCACTTCTTCCGATTCGTTTTCAATAAAAATTTTATTCAGACCAACTGCGTTTTTATCTACTCCCAACTACGGCCGTTCTCCGCTAGCTTTTCGAAGTCCTAATGCAACATTAGTTTCTCTCAGCACGTGCGTGCTTACGGAAGCAAAAATGCCATCGTCATCTTCATCCCAATCATAATTGTTACATATATCTCAGTTTTACACTGATTAGATGTCGCCAAAGCTGAAAAATTTTGGATTAACTTGAATTAACTTAAATGTTGTCTCTTCACAAATTTTAAAAACAACTTACTTTGATTTACCTTGTAAGTGTCCTCTTTCTCGATATCGTCATAACCTCGATCTGAAGCTTTTCCTAAAAAGAACGTACAAAGTAGGGGTTGTTAAAAAAAGCCTATAAAGAGCCACTTACTTTCTGGTGTAGGATCGTATAAATTCACGGCTGTAGTTTCTTTTAGGTTTTTCCCGTAATATAAATAAAGGGGACCGTTCCAAATTCCTTAACTTACTCTCGGGTGATACTGCAGGACTGTTAAACGGCGATGTAGAAAAGTCTTCAAATATTATATCCACAATTGTTTCTTGCGCTGGTGTGTAACGTGTTGCAGTCATCTTTTTTTTTCCTTCATTTTTTATTTTTTTTTGCTCTTCATTCTCATCATTGTTGCTGTTGGTGTTGTTGTCGTTGTTGCTGAAGTATATAATAAAGTTTTATGCAGAGTGATTTTATTTGATTTTTTGCTGCTAACCCCGCGTTACAAACACACATTCATCTACGTTTATATTAATATGGTTTGTGATGGTATATGATTGCGAGACAAATTGTTTTGGCATTTAGCCAAATAACAAACACATAACGAAGGAGATTATCTTGAAAAGGAGAAAAAAAAAAAACAAAAAAAGGAAATAAATATAAAAACGTTTGACTTATAATATTTAGGCTGCCATTGCTTGTGATCGTTCATTTAGTGTTCCACGAATGCTGGCATTTGGTTTCTTTGTTTTGGGTGTTTGGCCAACAATAACGAGGTAATCATCTTTATAATGATTTGTTAGGTCTTAGCATTGAATTATGTCCTTTTCTCCTACTGTCAAGATTGTTTTAAAGAGTTAAGTAATTTTAAAGTGCTTTCAGGGTTAATTTAATAAAAAACGGATGTTTTTATACAAAACTTTGTTTCGAAATATTTTGTTTGAAAATAGTAAAGAGTAATGTTTTCGTATACATTCATTTAGAAGTGAAAGGGTTTCTATGCCATTTAAAGAGTAAGTCAGATAAATTGCTGATAAAGCACGTAAAGTCGCAATAAACATATATGTGCTTTTTTGTAAGCTACATATGTGTGTGTATGTGTGTATATGTCTAGCAAAAGAATTATATACAATATTATATATATATATATGTATATAACAGTATTGAAAAAATAACTTACATACATTTCCGAAAAAATTGTTTATTGCCGGCGTGAGTGATGGTTGTGTGTTTGTGAATATTTTCTTTTCCACTTCTCCTTTGTCTTTTCATTCCCGTATCATATCTTGGGTACTCTCTTGCATTTCCACACAATTTCGTTTTCATTTTGTCAGTTTATGGAAATATTATAACTGCTTAAACTGCCTAAACTGCTTAGCCATTGCCGAGCCATCAAATTGTTTACTGTTGTTGGCTTCATTTTGAAAAGTCGTTACATTAATACACCGCAGTCTGTGTAAGCAAACACATGTTCAATTATTGAGAAGTGAAAACTTTTCGTATGCGCTTATTTTTCGCGAATTTCAAATGAAGCGATTTTTCTGCTATATACTAGTTCTAACGGACATTACTCTTTTATAAATAGCAAAGATAAGTGAAAATGAGCTTTTGCCATCCGAAGATTTCTTCCACAAGTTAGGGGTCAGTTGATCGTGCCTACGAGCAAAACAGATGACAAGTCATATAGAATGAAAACTAGCTGTCCTTTCATTCTGGCTGTATTTCGTTAAGGTCCTTAGGTTTGAATTAAACTAAACTAAACTTTTATATATATCCAATGTCTAGTTGCCAAAATTTATAGAATGACGACTGAGTATTAAAAACAAAAGAACAAATTAATGATTTTTACGGAAAACTATCGGTAGGTACGGCCGCATTAGATTTTTCGATGATTACCAATATCAGTGAGCAAACAGCTGTTTCTCCGCCCGTCTTTCAAGTCTTAATTATAAAATCCTGAGATCCCATTACATGGCTTTGTGGTAAGTTAAAGCACCAGATTCGGTGCCTTACATAAAGTGATTGAAAGTTTTTGGTTAGAAGAGAAGTAGTGCCAGTAAGGGATCTTCTTTGACCTTTTAGTAAACAATTTCTTAATCACATTCTAACAGGACCTCCTGGTGAGTTCCTCTGCGATACATTGTTAATGATAAGTGAGCGAGAGAACAGAGCAACTTAGCAAACTGTTGAGGATTTTTATAATTTATTTTATTCATTTTTAGATCTATGAACACATATACATAAAAAAAGGGGGAGAAAGGAAAACATTATAAATAATTTAAATGAAATAATAACTTATTTAATTGCAATTTTCTCGGTGAGTGAGAGAAAAATTTATAAAAGAAAAATATTATTCGAAAAGAAATAAGTTTTTTATGTTTGCCTGGTGCTAACACCGCACGCTTGGTTGTTTCTGTCGCGCTATCGCTCGGAACACTGGCGACCGGACGATTTTCTTCGTATTTTCTATTATATTAAGTAAAACATAAAAATAAAGAGAAAAAAAAAATTATCGAAATTTTTTCCGCCAATTTTAAATGAAAGAAGTTTTTTAAAATATTTATGTAAAAATCATATAAAATCCAAGTAAAAGCATTGCAACGTAAATGTATGTGTGTACATAACGGAGTATTTTTTTTATATGAAAAATTGAATAACATTTCGTTATCAAGTCAACCAATAAAAAAGGTTTTACATAAAAGAATCAAACAATAGTTTGTGGATATTTTTAAAGAATTTATGGACATTTTTGTTTATTTTTTTTTTGGAGAAAAAATCAACATAAATTTTGCAAAAAAAACATTACCTTTAGTTGAATCAGAATTTTTAAATATTTAAGTTGATAACAAGAAGGGGTGGAAGTTAATAAACAGTATTTGCTGCAGGCTTGGTTGAGTGGAGCGGCATTTAGCAATTTCAAGATTTTATGAAACATACGTTCGGAACATTGATTTCTCTGCTTACATCTTTTCTGAACTGCTTTAAACTTCGTAAGGTTTCCGTTTCTTTAAAACGCATAAGTACGAAAAAAAAAGAAAAATTCATTTATTGAAAACACTCTACGTGTTCTTCCAGCAAATATTATTTGAAACATATCGTAAGAAATTTAAAGTTTGTAAACGTTGAAGATTGTGCGAGTTATTCTTGAAAAATCGTCTTTCAAAAAGCACGTGTTCCAAATTTTGCAACGTACTGTAGGCGTGTGTTTTTAATACAATAAATTTGTTTGGTATTACATTTTTCCTACCAA